CAGGTACGAAGGACGGCTTATAATGATTGTCAGGAAGCAGAGATGCCCAGTTGCAAGATGCGGTGTTGTGGATTTCTACATTTAATTTTATATTTTTAAACCGCACTATTTCAGATTGTATAAATATAGAGAAACATAATGTTTCAAATGCTGTACTGAAGCCACACTACGCTGGCACAATGGATTGACTCAAGTAACAATAAAGACCTTCATGCAAGTTGATACATGTGTCAGTGACCATCCACTACTTAGGGGTCAACATAATTGAATATTTATTTAATAACCAATTGTGATTAAGGTAGGCAAGCCTCAAATTTCATATATTATTCTTTGCCTTTTGTTCAACCAAACATATTACAGCACCTAAAAAAAACAAAAAGTGTAGGTATGCAGACCAGATTTCCAGTAGATGGAACAGGTGGGTCAAGTTCTTTAACAAGAAAAACTGCCTTGGAATCCAAAGGAAAGCGTCAACATGACGTGGAAGGTAGTTTTCTCAGCTTCTAGCAGAATTTAACTCTAGACAGGAGAGGGTTTACCCAAAAAATGAACTGAATGAGGTCAGCATATTACGGCACTGCCGAAAGGGATAAGCTCACCTCCAGCCCATCAATTATTGAGCTGGATCATCCGCCAAAAAAAAAAAAAAAAGTCAAAACACTTTCACACCAGGTCCTCCAGAACAGCAAACCACATAACACCTCAATAGTTTGTAACAAAAATATTTAGCTTTGTTCTTCCACCAGATCCCAAAGATTTGGTGAAAATAGCAAGCTGAGGATATCAGGAAAATAGAAAGGACAACATGTTTTGTACCTTGAAGGGCAATTTATCAAAAATGTAAAGTTTTTTTTTTTTGTCTCACTTTTCCCCAACTCCTTGTCCTTAACAGATTAATTATATTTGTTCTGTGCATCCATTTATTAATATCTGGGATGATATAATTGGTTTCTAATAAAAGCCTGGTTTAATTGACACATGGTTTAATTGACAAATGGTTTACATTCTCCCCTCTCCCTCCCCTCCATACTCTCAATACAGTATGTCAGTTATTTAAGAAACTTTGAAACTGCTTCTGAATAAGTGCTGCGGAATAAGCTGGCGCTATATAAATACCAATAATAATAACGCTTATGCACAGAGGGGTGCAATCAACAAAGAGGTCACAATATACATCTTTATGCAAAGAAGTTACATGCAAAAACACATTGAAGACCTACAAAACTAAGTAGAAATACCAATTTCACACAAAACTGAAACTGCACAATTGGTAGTGATAAGTTTTTTGGTTTTTTTTACCATTTCCATGAACTTTATCAGACTTTCCCGATTATTCTCCCATTCATCACGAAGTTCCGAAGCCATAGGATATTTGCAGCATGATAACTCAAAGGTCACTTCAAAGCAGTTACCCCAAATGTAATTGTAATCCTGCATCCCACCTGTAACAACATAGAAATGAAACCATTAGAACTAAGACTCAAACATCATTATTGATCTGGTAGCAACAAAACACCAAAGGATAGTTTAATGAGCAAATAAACTTTTACCAACAACTATTCAACCACCACATCTCCCACATTAGCCATTTCTTTTAATCTTTAGACTTATTGAATCTATGCTTCCTTTGACTAAGATTTCTACTTTGCATTGACATACATTCTGTCTTTCTGGTGCGTGCATGTACTCTTAAAGGCATGCTTTAAGCATGAAAACAACATTAGCCCAACCAATCTGTTTAATTTACTGCCATTTAGGAGTTAAATGACTTTGATTATGCAGCACAAGCCACACACTTCCTGACAAAGATTATAATTTAATTTTTATTTTTTTTTAGGGACACTATAGTCACAATTTTAATTGAATAAAGCAGTTTTGGTGTATAGATCATGCCAATTCTCTACCATCTAGGACTTAAAGGAACACGCCGGTCACCATAACAATTTAATCGAAATGAAACTGCTACAGTGCATGGAGGCCCCAGACACATACCTTAAGAGGTTAAACTTTTCTCTAAAGATTTGACACCAAAGACTGCCTCCAGCTTCAGATCTCTAACTACTGCCAGATTTACTTAACTAGCTTAATTTGGTACGGCATGCCCACATAATGTGCTTAACCTAACCAGTAACAAATACCCAGTGGCATTTACTAGCTAAAGGCATGTTTAGCATATGTCACACTGTGTATTGGTAATGCTGCTCTGAATTACTAAAAGGCGATATGTGCCAGCAAACATACCTCCGGCTTTAGCTAGCCATGTTATTAGCCTGTTTTAAATATAAAAATGTGCATCCTTTCCCCAGTTTACCCCAAATGTACCAAACAATGTTCATAACACTGACGATTGCCATTGGGGTACCTCAGGCCTGCTGTAACTCTCTCGTGCACAAAAAAAAAAAAAAAAAGATTTTGCCGTTAAAGGAACACTACAGTGCTTAACTAGTTAGGTGACCGTCCCTTCTCTGATCACATGGGAAATGTGCTTTATTTTTTCCCCCTATGCCATGCCGGCTGGCCCGGCCTCCATTTCGGAGATCATCAATTTTCCATTGGAGAGCATTAGAAAGCGTTTGCACATGCGCAGAAAGACTCTGTGCTGTGCCAATCAGCATCTTCTCATAGAGATGCATCAAATGAATGCATCTCTATGGGGAACGATCAGCACCTCCATGCAGATCAGCAAGGACCCAAGTAGGAGAGAAAAACAATTTGCCCCATTAATAGGGAATGGGGCCAGGGTACTCTTCCCATCATAACCACTACAGCAAAACAAACAACACAGCCACAGAACAAATATACTTTGTTTCCACTGCAAAGAATGATAATAATTCAAAGCCGTAAAAACCCACAATGGTTTCCAAAGAGATGTTTACAAATGTACTACATAAGAAGCAAGCTCATTGTTGTAATTTGGGAAAGCATTGTAGAAAAAAGAAGATGTAATGAAATAGTTTTTTTTCCTGTGTGTTCATTACATTATATTCTTTTTGTAGCTGATATTTCTGATGAGATCATATAATGACATGGTTTAACAAATGCAAGCGGTTTTGTATAGAGTGTGAGTGATGGCAAATAAGATCTAATTGATTAACCTATACTGCCTAGAGATGTGCCTAGGGCTGCATAAACAAAGTGATTTAATTCCTAAATGTCAGAGAATTGAGCAGAGAGACTGCAAAGGCATGATATATACATCAAAACTGCTTAAAGGACCACTATAGTGCCAAGAAAACATACTCTTTTACCTGGCACTATAGTGCCCTGAGGGTGCCCCCCCCCTCAGGGTCCCACTCCTGCCGGGCTCTGGTGAGAGGAAGGGGTTAAACACTTACCTTTCTCCAGCGCCAGGCGGGGAGATTTCCTCCTCCTCTCCTTCCTAGCGAAGTCATCGGCTGAATGCGCATGGGCGGCAGGAGCCGCGCACACATTCAGCCAGTCTCATAGGAAAGACGCTGGCGTCTTCTCACTGTGATTTTCACAGTGAGAAGCACGCAAGCGCCTCTAGCAGCTGTCAATGAGACAGCCACTAGAGGCTTTAGAGGCTGGATTAACCCTCAGTGTAAACATAGCAGTTTCTCTGAAAATGCTATGTTTATTAAGGAAAAAAAAAAAAAAAAGGGTTAATCCTATCTGGACCTGGCACCCAGACCACTTCATTAAGCTGAAGTGGTCTGGGTGCCTATAGTGGTCCTTTAAGTAAGCTAAGGGTGTTTTGGTGCTTATAGTGTCCCTTTAAGCCTTTATTACTTCTACAGAAGTGACAGTTCCTAAATCCTTTAATTCCAGTGAACACTGTTGAAGTATTTACTGGGGATAAACACGCAGCCGGAGTATTAAAACACATTTTACTTCAATGAAATTCTAGGTGTAGGAGGTGCCATTTAGTATCCGGATTCACAAACTTGAATAGACCCATGTATTTGTATTTGAGATATTTTTCTAAATTGTGTTTAAAAATTTAATTGGTGGTGACCTCTTTTGATATTAGAGTTAAGAATGGGTGATGCTCTTTGATCAACATAATTTTATCTAAATTAAGTTGTTACAGTGCCAGGAGGCCAATGGGCACTCGTCAACCATTAGGGAGTTAAACTGTTCTCGAACGGTTTAACCCCAAAGGTTGCCTCCAGCACCAATCTCCCAGTCGGCTTCTAAATCTGAATTACAGAAAGCGTGAAGCGTCACCAGGCAGGCATAACACTGATTGACTAGAACAGTCAGCTGACCCTCTAAGCCAGGCTTCCCAGAACTCCAGCCCTCCAGATGTTGCTGAACTACAACTCCCATGATTTTATGAAAGAAATAGATAGGCTGAGAATCATGGGAGTTGTAGTTCAGCAACATCTGGAAGGCCGGTGTTTGGGGAAGCCTGCTCTAAGCCAACCATTAGTGAACTATTCTAAGAAACAAAAAAAACATTTCTCTGGACCAACTTTCTATAGATTCAGTTAAAGGACCACTATAGTGCCAGGAAAACACTCATTTTCCTGGCACTACAGTGCCCTGAGGGTGCCCCCACCCTCAGGGTCCCCCTCCCGCCGGGCTCTGGGGAGAGGAAAGGGGTTAAACACTCACCTTTCTCCAGCGCCGGGCAGGGAGCTCTCCGCCTCCAATCCTCCTCCCTTTCGGCTGGCTGCGCGCGCATTCAGCCGGTCTCATAGGAAAGCATTCATAATGCTTTCCTATGGACTTTGCCGTCTTCTCACTGTGATTTTCACAGTGAGAAACAAAAAACACCTCTACCGTCTGTCAGTGAGACAGCCCCTAGAGGATTTGAGGGCTGGATTAACCTATTTATAAATATAAACTGCTATGTTTATAAACAAAATGGGTTAACTCTAGCTGGACCTGGCACCCAGACCACTTCATTAAGCTGAAGTGGTCTGGGTGCCTAGAGTGGTCCTTTAAGTCCAAATGTGGCAAATTCCATTGATTGGACAGGATTTGGAAAGACACACCTGTGTTTGAGCTCTGCAGACAGTTCATTTGACATCACAGCTTGGTTTTCGTTCTGTTATGCATTTACAGCTGTGCATTCATATGTGTGTGTGTATATATATATTTTATATATATATATATATATATATATATATATATATATATATATATATATATATAAATATATAAATGCACAGCTGTAAATGCATAACAAAACGAAAACCAAGCTGTGATGTCAAATGAACTGTCTGCAGAGCTCAAAGGCAGGATTGTATCGAGCCAGAGATCTGGGAGGGGACAACAAAACAATATTTTATTTTTTTGTGGAAATTATTTGCCTTGAAAGATTCCAAGCGTAGAGTGGCCTCCATAATTCTTAAATGGAAGAAGTTTGGAACAACCAGGACTCTTTCTAGAGTTGGCTGCAATGCCAAACTGAGCAATCTATGGAAGTAGGGTCTTTGTAAAAGAGGTGACCAAGAACCATACGGTCAATCTCGGCCCAGAGATCATGTTTGTAGATGGGAGAACAACCATCACTATAAAAATTTTTTTTTTTTTTTTTAAAAAGCATTGACCTGGTAATCACTTTGAAATGTGCTTCAAATAAGTATCGAGTTAAGGGTCTGAATAATTATGTACATTTTTTGGTTTAATGCATTTGCAATGGTGTCAAAAATCAGTTTTTTGCTTTGTTTTATTGGAATATTAATGGATATGAAAATGCACAATTATAACAAAAGATTGCAATATAAAAATGTGAATTATTGGATGTGAATACTTTCTGAATGCAATGCAGAAGCATATATATTTACATCTTTTGTAATTGTCTTGTGCCCAAAACTTCCTAGCATGTAATTAAGAACTGAAAAGCTTAAGCCAGTGTTTTCTTTGGCAAGCTCCAACATCCCCACATTTATTTTCATGTTTGAATTGGAAGTCACTGTTCATTAGTAATTGTGCCCTTGAAATGTTCTGTGCTATGTTTTACAGGTTATAACAGTACCCAAGTGAAAAAACATATTGGATATTTGTTAAAATAGCAGCTAGAATTTCACCTGCCTCTTTCAGCTCAACTATTAAAAAGTAACACTCCAATCACCAAAAACACTACAGCTTAATGTAGTGGTTATGGTGCCAGAAGTGCCCTGACACCAAATATTGTAAGGAGAGAAAACATTTTTAGAATGAATAGAGTGTCTACCTGGAATCTACCAGGCACCACTCCTGACCCTGCCTTAGAAGAAACTTTCATTAGTTCTCCTAAGTCCTGCACTGCATTCTGTACTTATGGTGTTTTCGGCGTTCCTTTAATTTTGTAAACACACAAATGGTAAACAAGCCTTTCCAACTTGTAAGTCAGCATTAAACACTGGATGTGTAATGTCATATGTATAAGTGTACAATTCGGAATGGATTCTTTTGCAACAAGAAATGACCCATACACAGGTAATGTGAATAATGTATTTCAGACAAATACACAGATACCACTGACTCTCCTTACAGGATCTTGAAGAGACATGACACGACACATGGCAAGCACGATTTATCAATGCACAGAAAAAAGTTCTCTTGACAGCTATTTTAGGTTAAATTAACATTCCAGGTTGAAGTGGATTTGAACAGATGACAAATTCAGCCAAACAAGGGTTGCCTAGTGAAATGCATGAGAGCACCACAATAGACATGCGGCAAATCTTACATGGCATGAATGATTCTCTCGTAACATTGACCATATACAAGTTTGATGACACAACTGTGTGCGTTTGGTTCTCTTGTGGCATCGAAACAATGCTTTAATGTGGAAATCTATTAAAGGACCACTATAGTGCCAGGAAAACACTTGTTTTCAGGGTCCCCCTCCTGCCGGGCTCTAGTGGGTTGAAGGGGTTAAACTTACCTCTTTGTCCAGCGCCGGGCAGGGGACTCGCCTCCTCCTCTCCGCCTCAATGCACATGAGCCGCGCGCACATTCAGCCAGTCTCATAGGAAAGCATTCACAATGATTTCCTATGGACGATGGCGTCTTCTCACTGTGATTTTAACAGTGAGAAGCGCCTCTAGCGGCTGTCAATGAGACAGCCACTAGAGGCTGGATTAACCCTAATATAAACATAGCAGTTTCTCTGAAACTGCTATGTTTATAGAAAAAAAGGGTTAAACCTAGCTGGACCAGGCACCCAGACAGCTTCATTAAGCTGAAGTGGTTCTGGGTGCCTATAATGGTCCTTTAAGCATACACAATAGCAGCGTCGATTGCGTTAATTCCATTGGAAGCCCTTGAATCCGTACAATGCAAGAAAATACCATGTAATTTGTAGGATTTATATTTTTTTATTTCATAGAAATTCTGGACAAAGTAAAGCATGTATATTTGCAAGGCCAAGTGAGATAGATGGTCAATATACAAAGAATTTGCTTTAATTCCAGGCTGGGTAATGACACCGTCGGAGGTCTAGTTATGCACCCACAAGCAAAGTTCTTTAACTCTGTGTGCTAAGTTTCTGAAATGCTGTATGTATAGACAGCATCATGACCACTGGAAATAACTGAAGTGGTCATGGTGCTTGGAGCAACCCTTTAACTTTTTTTTTTTTTTTTTTACTGCTGTCTTATTTCTGCATATCTAAACACACACACACACACACACACACACACACACACACACACACACACACACACAAAACAACCCAATGGGAATGCAAAACACAAATAAATAAAATTACATCAAAATATATAAAAAGGTGCAAAAACAGAGAAGTCATTTATTTACTTTATTTAAGATAGGTAAATAGTCAGTGTTCGTTCAAATAAATTTAACAAGAGAAAAAAATGGAATCATAAAATCATACTTTAAACATATCCACCCATTATGTACACCAAGGTTTCTGAAAGTTCACTGCTTTTCGATCAGACCATGCAAAGTTTGCTACATCATTATTTACCAGATGAACAAAGAAAGGCCGTATATACACAAGGTTTACTCATAAGCCAAATAGCAGCAGATACATTATAGGTGTGTAAAGAGAAAATAGGCTATAGGAAATCAACATGCTTGATTCGATGTCTAGTGTGACAGATTGGCAGTCATTGAATAATTATTGACAACTCAAAATACATAACAAAGAGGAGGTTTGTAGCTGTCCAATACCTCACAGTATCATTTCCCATTTTTGGAGGTATTAATTCTCCCACATATCTATTTACTCCCCCTCCCCTTTTAATCATGGTCTATGCTTTCCTTACTAAATTTTCTTTGTTTTTTTTCCCCCTCTTGTTTTGTATTCTTTTTATATTTCTTTTATATTTTAACATTGGACTCCATGTGATGGCAACAATACCAAGCATTTGTTCATGCGTCACTAGATTTTAGGCATGGCTACTGCATAAGTGCAGCAGTCCTTTTACTTATGTATCAAATTCTCGTTAGCATCTCTTTAACAAAGGTGAATTGATTAACTAATTCTCATTAAAACCGCTCATATTTCACATTCAACTAAGGAAATGTAATTTAAGCACTTTTTTGCTATTGTAAATTGTTCATTGTATGTTCATCGTCCACTGCCAAGAAAAAGTATTTAACACAGGAATTCTATTCATTCTGAGATTAAACAGATTTGTAACTCGGTAAGAACAGAGTTTAAAAAAAAAACAAAAAAAAACACTAAACAGGAACATGTCTGAAATTGTACTGTTTGCACTAAAGTTGACCACTTTTTTTAATAATATGTTAAATATCTAGTCTATTAATGAAACAGCACTGTGATTTCAATTGCTAAATCTTTACTATATATTTAAAAGGAACGTTCAAAGATTCAAAGAAGCACCAAACCACTACAGGGTGCAGAAGTCCCTATGGTCCAAGGAGTGTCCTGGCACTGCACCATGGTAAGTAGTCAAACCAGCAGTGCAGGGCTTAGCTCACTGGCTGTGGGTGGCCAGCTAGAAAGAAGCTTACAGCTCTCCTGGCTGCTGAGACGAGAAAGGTGCCCAGCAGACCTCAAACCGTTCTATAAAATTATTTGATTACTTAGCGTGGGGGAGAGGGGTCATAAGGCAATTTCTGGCACCATTATTCCTACAAAAGAGGAGAGGGAGAAAATCCCCAACATACCATGGTTAAAAATAAGCATGTATGGAAAGAAACCATTTGAAAGGAACACTATAGTGGTAAATATATTTGTATAGTGTACCTCTGCCCCCACTCCCAGACCCGCCAGTAGGAAATAAAGGGTTAATATCCTTTTCTCAGATTTAACTGATTACAGGGCCAATTTCCCTCAGCGCTGGGTCATGCTCCTCCTCTGCCGATGTCATGGCGATTCAGGAATTTAAAAATCGCACGATGAAGTGGTCTGCCTATAGTGTCCCTTTACCTCATACTATTAAATGCATATTAATGGGTGGGGGGGGGGAAGGGCGGGGGGGGGGGAATTATTTTCAATAATATCTGAAAAACTCCAGCTGTATACAACTACGTGACCCTCTAGCATTAAGAGAAGATTCTGAGCAGGCAGGCCAAATTCATTAATTATGGAAAAACATACTGCTGCTGATCATTAGTGATAACAATTAGACATTGACTTGATGACATCAATGGTGAAATATGTTCAGAGCAGAAAAGCTTATCGTACTGTTTACAAAGGGTTGTCCCATTTGAGCACCCCATCCGTTTTGTTTTGTGTTTTTCCAGGATATCCTGTATTATTTATATCACTATAACCTATTTTTTCATATGACCAATCAGCCAAAGTCAAAGAGCAAATAGTGATGTATCTCAGTATGTGAGCAATGAAAACTAAATCAAACAAGAAAAGTGACAGATGGCATAACTCCTGTATCATCTTGCCAAAAGGAATAACACTGCAGATAAACAACTGTGCACATACTGTAAGCAGACTGATTTTGCTCTATATATCAATATATTTCTGGCTTACAGAAACAAGTACACATAGCATATTACATACTCCTGTAATTAGAGTGATTGGTGTAGTTTTGCAGCTCCAGACTAATGCTATCTGCTCTGGGAATAAAATTGGTGTATACAAGCAATCTGCTATGGATTATCATTCCAGACACTGTATCAAGTGAAATTTTAAAGGGGGCACTGCTGAACATGTCCAATCATGCCCTCAATAAGACCGCACATTTCATCCTTCAAAACACCGGCAAAAGAGTGGATTTAAAAACACAATCTTTAGACAAAGAGTATCTAACCCATCCCTGGGA